AAAGTGAATCTGTTTCATCTTCCACATACATGGAGATCTTTCATCACATCTTGTTGGAGTTGGTTAGAAAATTGGACTGTTGTTAGTCTTAAAAATAAAATTCAGTGGCCTAGACAGAACTAAGTATTAGCTGGCTGTCATTAGTTATTTTCCTCATAATAAGAAAAATCCAAATATGAGTTAGCAGTACATTAAATACCTTTCTAGTGTATAAATGATTTAAGAATACATGACAGATCTTAAATGCACACTGACATTCCCCTTGCACACAGACATGTAATAGCTGTGCTAAAAAGGTTAGATTAGAAAAGACTGGTAGAGAAACAATGAAATAGCTTTAAAATGAGAGGAAACAGGAGAAAAAAAAAAAGGAGGATTTGAAGCAGATAGATAGATAAATCAGAAAGAGGAACTCTGGATTACAAGGCACCAAGCACTGTCTGCTTCTGGTACTTAAGGCAGTGGCTGTCTTATTTCCTTTTTTAATTAATACCATTACTAGGATATTAAGAATGGTCAGCAGATCTCATCAGAGGTATGTTGCATGATGCAGGAACACAATCTAGTAGAATAACAAAGTTGGATAAGAAAAAAGAATAAGTAGGATTCAAAAGGAAACATGAATAATGAATATTTTGGAAGTCTTCCCATTTTAGTAAAATTGGTTGCTAACTGATTTAGTTAAATTTAGTGCAGTTTCGTCCTGGAGGGAAATTGTATTGAAATTTGTGTCCACGGATGTCAATATTATTTAGAAGCATTAATCATTGTATCCAATATATAAAATGTTGCTGGAGAGGAGGAGAGTTTAATCTGTCCTCCCTATTCAATGTGGATGGGATAAGAATCAGCAGAGGAAGTTTTAGATAGATATTTGGAAAAAGCTAATAGTAAGAACACTGGATCAGATCACCTGTAAGGGTTATGGAGCATTTATTATTTGTTGTCTTTAAGAATAAATGACAAATATCTGTCAGGAATAGTTTAAATGCCATCTGTCAGGCTTGGGGGATGGGGAGAGTCACAGGCTAGATGAGCGACTGACACATTTCTTTGATTTGTAGATGCTTTCTACAAGTTTTCCTGTGGAGATGTGTGAGCCCTTTACAGTCAAGTTTACTGACAAGCTTGCTTTTTGTAGTTATTATCCCCAAGGCCTGACAGTCTCTGAACCACAAAACCACTGGCACAGATTTTCTATGACTCAGTAACTCCTTTGAAGTAATGGGAAGTAGGGGTAGAAGTTCCATGTAATGCCTAAGAATATGGCCATTTACATTGTTGCAGCTGAGCTGTCCTGACTTGTAGTGCAGTCACGTAAGTTTTGTGGAAGCAGAATTCGGCTTTAAATGACCTGCAAGTCATGCAGGATGCCTGTTTGAGAACTGATAGGAAACCTGGCTTTAGTCATGCTTTAACCCATAACTTGTTTTCTCTAAAAGAGTTTCAGTGAAGAAGCTCTAGATTCTATCTTGGTAAAAAAAATACTGGAGTTTTGTGTATAAATCTGCTTGATTTATACACATGGATGGAAGGGCAAGCCTGGATGATAATCTGCAGACTGACCAGTACAGATTGCAAATTACACAAAGGTTGAAGTGACTGAGAATGGAAGAAAAAGAAGAAAAAAAAGCTTGCTGGATGTGGCAGCCAAATTCACAGAGCGCTTTGAATCTCGGATAGAAATACATCAAGGTCAGGCTGCAAAAACACTAGGATGGCTGTTCCAGCCTGGAAGCCTTTTTACTGTAGCAAGTACAACCAGATTTCCTTCTCTCTGCCATTTACTTTCATTCCCCTAGGGCTTCTGTTTTTTCTTACTGGTTTGGCATCTTTCCTGTCCATCAGTCCCACACATCCCATGTCTTATTAAGCAGCTTTTCTTAACTGACTAATGAGATGCTATTTTTGGCAATGCTTTTAAGACTCTCTCTTTTATTGCTCTGCTTCATTTTCTGCATTTTTACTGGTTAGTTTCTTAGTGAGCCCTGTATTACTACTGTATTTACTACTGCATACTCATCATCTCATTTGGATTTCTCTTGTCGTTTGTTACACTTCTTTCATTTCCTTGCCCACTCCTCCTCAGTTTTGGCTCTTGCACTTCTTTTTGGCTTATTTTACCCTCTTACAGTTTTGGCCCCCCCCCCGCCCGTTTTTTTTCCCCCTCTGTTTTCCCCCATGCAATACATCACTCTCCTCTGATGTCCTGATCCTTTTTTCAGATAATCACAAAGTAAACAAAGAAAAAAGCATTTCCAGAGGGAGATTTGTCCTATCTTAAGGCAGCTGCCTAAGCCAGGCAGGATGAATCACATCAGTAGGCTGCTATCTCTGTTCATTAACTATAGTAAGTCTAAACAGCTAGCATAGACTAGATGTCTCCCTTGCAAGAATTAAGTGAGATAATTGAATACGTGTAAACTACTAGAACTTAATATGCTAAATATTAAGATAATGTGCTACTGTACATTAAAATGACAAGTGTATAAGTAATTTAGGAAGCTGTTGATGTAATTTGTAGGATTTTTGAAGTTGCTTAACCCACAGCAACAAAGCTATTTAGAATTAATAAGTTTTTGAATTACCTTTTTTATGGCCCAATTATTGGTAGCATCAAACTCCAGATAAAAGCTGACCTCTGAATCCAAATATAGTTTTCCTCTCATTCTACCTGAATACAACTATAACACATCAGTATGTTAAAAGCAGTAATGTTATACTCAGAAGATTAAAAGAAATATCCCTACTTTCATCTATCTTACATATCCTGAGGATGTAAGGTGTTTCAGAGTTAGCGTAAATACAGGTATGGATGTGCTCTTTCACTTTGTACTGTAAGAGCTTGCTGTATTTTTGATACCCGCTTATTTCATTCTCCACAAATGTAACACATAAGAGAATTTTAAAAAGTATCACAAGGACAAAATAAAGAGCTCTATAAATATTTACTTAGTTTCTTTTGGTATCTCGTAGCTTTACTGACTTAACTGACAGACGCTGAGATGGGCCCAAGACCACAAAAACTAAATATTGAGCCATTTCATGTTGATTTCATGATGTCAATGGCTTACTCTTGCTTAAGAAGATTTTCCTATGCGTTGTGTAAGGCATAGAAAGTATGAATGTAAATTAGTTTAGTTATGCCAGTGTAAATGCTGTGGCACCATTCACCTAATTCAGAAGTGTTGTGCCATCTGACTGATGTCAAAATTTAACTACTGAAATGATTATTGGGAGAAAAAGCAGGATAGGTGCTTACTGTGCTACTCTACTGTAGTTACAAGTGTGCATGTTCTGATCCTGCGGTATTTTATGTTTACCATGGGGAAGTACATGGCAGTTGTACAACAACTGGCAGTTGGCATTGAGTAGCTAGTATGCTGTAAATCCGTACGCTAACGATTTGTTTACGTAGCTATACGCTCCAGAAGATTTTTTTTTTCTTTTTCTTTTCTTTTTTTGAAGAGGAAGTGCATGCATCTCCTGTGTGTGTATAAACATATGTGGATTTTAAATTTTTATTTTAGGCTTTCCCTATGTTAAGTTCTCTTAAAAAAATCTGCTAATGTTTCTAGGTGAGAAATGTAGACTAGAGTTTTCTGGTAGATCTCCTGGGAATCTAGATGATATGTATGATAAATCTTTAACAGAAAGAGAGAGAAGAGTTTAATTTTACACTAAGCTTGTCTTTTACTTGAACATCTATCAGTATGGGAATGCTGTTAGGAAAAACAAGCAGAATTTTACATATTTGTAAGAAAGGTGAGTTTTCGGAGGAGAAAGGGATAACCTTTCCCTAAGGGATAGGCCTCAACTACACTAGAAACCAAACTTAAATCAAATAAAGCCAGCATTACACTGAAATGGTTCAGTTTAATACTTGTTTAAATAGGACTATATTTAAGCACACTAGTTAAAACAGTGGCATTTAAATTAGCGTAGTTAAGTTGCATAGGTGAGGTTGCAGCGTTCACGATCTCCGTTCCGGGCTCACGGTCTTAGTTCTCGTGCCAGACTGTCAGTGACTTTCCAGGGGGGAGCTGCCCATCAGGTTCTTGTCATGTTACCATCAGTATGTCCTGTTTACCAGAGAAAGTGATTTTCTAGCCAGTGAACTTGAATTCATTGAATCCCAGTCATGCACACTTTTTGCTAGAAAGTAATTTTCTAATAACTATAGATACCTCTAGGTTAGATGAGGACTGCATTTGCAGAAGTTACATTTAGTTACGTTTAAGGCATTAGGGAAAACCTCCACACTGATACTGAACTAACAGAAACATGCTGCCGAACCTGCTTGCTTTTATTTCTAGAAACATTTACGTTATACCTAGAAAAGATCTGAAAAGTTAATTAAAAAAAGTATAGTCCAACAATCATTTTTTGTGAGCCTTTAATAGCTCTAAGCTGCATCTTTTGGATTAATTTTGTATGATGCAGGAAGGGAGAGAGCTGTGTATCACAGTTTCTTGTACTCAGTATATCTGTTTCCACTCTCAAAATAATTGTACGTATCTTAATGAAATGCAAATTAATCATTATGATCATGTTTTTTCTCACTGGGCGTCTACAATATATAAACAACCAATAGAAATAAACCTATTGAAAGAATGCTGTATTCTTGAAGAGAAGAAAGATCTACTATAGATAAACCCATAAATACCCAAAGGAACAAAAAAGGAAACAAGTACTATTTTTTCACAGCTTTAAAAATTTTTGTTATGAAAAATAATAGGATATTTTCAGTAGATTTGAAGTGCCAACCGGCTAGAGAGCTGGAGATGCCACAGAAAGTGAGGGGATATGCTCCGCTTTAAACGATTGTTCTGTCAGGCTGAAATCTGCAACACAGAATTGCTGTGCACCTAGTATTGACTACTAATGCCCAGGCTTTCCAGCAACACTTAAAACCAACACACACACACCCACCCACCCACCCACCCCAACCCAGCCTACTGGGAAAATGTAACGTAAACTCCCGCTATGCCTTCCTCTTGCAGATGCGTACAACGCGCAAAGTATCGGTGTGGCCGGTGGGACTTGTGGGAGGACGACGGTACGAGCGCCCTATCGTGGAAAACGGCAAAGTTGTTGGCTGGTATACTGGCTGGAGAGCTGACAGGCCATTTGCTATTGACATGGCAGGTAAGTACAAAGTTGCATGAAATATGAATGTTTCTCATAATACCTATCTTTTACACTTTTTATGAGCAGGACAGGAACAGATGTTTCAATGTAAATAGCTTATAAAACTTTTAAAGTGCAGCCATTTAATGCCCTTTTAGCATTAAATATCCTGGAAGTCTTAGCTGGCACACGCTTTCTAAGTTGCTTGGTGATAGCCAAACATACTTTCACTTGTTTTAATTTTATGTGGCAACTTGGCTTCTATGTTGTATAACTTGTTTGTCTAAAACAAGTTAATTGTAAATCAATTAATCTAATTAATTTTTTCAGGAAGTTGCTGCCTTTCGTTGTCACCATTCTACACTAGACAGTATAAAGGAAGCCCCTTCTTAGACCTCATGTTATAAAATGCTACATATGAAATGATTCATTTTTGGTTATTTGGAATGACAGTGATAACTATAGAGGGATAACTACAGATGGATATAATTTGAAATTGGGCTTAAGAGGAAAAAAAAAACTGACAACTATAGCCTAGTACATGAAGGCAGCAAAGTTTCAAATTTGATCTAATCAGCCTTCTGTGAAGTTAGCACACCACATAGCCCTGTCGTTCTGTCAGTCCCTGCTTAGACAATCATTTGAATTTATTCACAACTGCCAACTGAATCACCAATGTACAGAATTCTGATTTCTGATGGAGCAGCAGCTTGTTTCCTAGAATATGATGTTTGTGGTTAAGCATATTCTGTATTTGGGAAGAGACGGGAGAGGGAAAAGGAGGGATATGAGGGCGAGAAAGAGAAAATAGCCACCCATTTTCTTTCTTCTTGAAACCCTTATAATTTTAGGAGTGGGGAAAGTAGATTGCTTTGTCATCTCAACCAAATGTTATTTACAGATTGAAATGTCTGACAAAAAATACTTATAGTTAATTGGTTAAAAATAGTAATAGGAGGACTAAAAGTAGTGTCTTACAGAGAAAAATATTAACAACTGAATTTTTCTGCACTGTAGAAGGATTTAAAACTAATGTATCACCTGGCGGGAAAATATTTGAGTGTCTCAGTAGTGACATTCCTCAGGGGGAGATCTCAATATCTCAACCCTTAAACGAGTGCAGCCTGTTGAGAGGGCTGCTGCTGCACACTTCAAGAACAGTCTCTGCCTGTAGGTTTACAAATGCATGCTGATAGTATGCTGTAGAAGTGGTTACTCATGGATATTATAAAGATGATAGTATTGTCCATAATTCACTACCAACAGATAAAAAGCAGTTCAATAGCAGTAGCCCAGGAACTCAAATCAAGTGGGAACAAACCCTGTGGATTTCATTGCAATCAGCTCAAAGACCCTACATGCCCAACTTGCCTAGAATAGTTTTTGAAATGTACTCACATGTTTGATCAGTTAAGTAAACATTGGTTTTTTCTTTTGAGGAGTCTGTGGCTGATAACTGCTACTCTGCTATGCTAAATTGTGTTCAGAAAAAATAGCAGCTGTTTACTGCATTGCTTCTTCTCTGGCAAGCAGACCACCTGACTTAGTTTGTTCTTTAAGTTCCACTTCAGCTTTAACTGTGGGTGGTTGCTAGAGTTTGGCACAGAACTTCTTACCATTGCCGGGGCGGGGGGGAGGAAATACGGTATGGCAAGCAAAAAGCGATGTTGAGTCGAAGGAGGAAAAGTATGGGAAAGAAGAGCGGAACAGAATTGTTAACAAGGGGGAGAGCATTTAGAGGCTAGAGAACAAGGAGGTGTGAGAGGAGAGAATATGAGGCAAAGGAGACCTCCTGAGAACCAGTTTGACTCATTCACCCATGTCGGTGGTATAGTAAACACCCCTCTTTTCATAGTTAAGTGTGGTTGTCTTGCTAAAGAGGCTGCCAAGACTGTAGTTCTAAGTTTTTAGTACTTGCTACAGAAAACAGGACCCAGCATCTGCAATACGTTCTGTTGCCTCTTATCTCTTCTCATCCTCTATAGCCTCTTTAGTTTCATTAAAAACTCAGAGCTTAAGTGGAGAGAGAGCAGTGTGGCCTCACAAATAAAATGATTCTCCCACTTTTAGGGTAAATCTGCCTTTGTTTTCAATATAATGCTAAAAGGTATTTATCGTTAGCTGAAATCAACCTGTCCTTTTTACCGTGGAAACCTGTATTATCTAATACTGTGAAGGGAGATTTTTGTATTTCTCTATGAAAACAGCATTTAGCTATGTTATGCAATATTATTGGTACTATTAATACTGCGTTTAGTAGACTATGATAATAAATGTATTATTAAACAGAACTAAGCAAACTTCTATACCCACTGTACAAGAATTACAGAAGTTGGGCTCTTGTATACTGCAAAATCGCATTCATTCATTAGTAAAGAAAACCATCCTTCACTTCAGATACAGACAAACATTTCCTAGAGGGTGGAATGGGAAACAAGTTGTCCTTCCAAAAATGTGGTCCTGAGGTTTTAAAAGTATTACCAGAATCTCGGTTAAACATGAACTAAGGGAAACTAGTTAAAAAAAAAAAATTGAGGTTATACTAATTATAAGAACATAGGAAATATGCTCAGATCTCATCTTAATCTAAATAAAATATATCACAAGCTAGATAGACTTCTTTTAAGTTTGTTTGATTAGTATTTCTGTCAGATTTGACAGAATTCGATTCGGTGATTGCTGTGAAGCATTTCTGCTCCTTGGTGGTTCTAGATGGCTAGCTGAAGCACTTTTCCCAGTAGGTTGGCATGGACATATGCAACAGGCCCCATCTCAGTCCCTTTGCTAGGGGGGCACCACAGTAAAAAGGGAGTGAAGCTAGAATTTCTAGCAGTTTGTCTTGATGTAGAACTACGGAAGAAGGTTTCAGAACACCACTCATTTCACTTGCTCGTCTACTGTCAAAAGCCTTTCAACAATGAAAGAAAACATACTAGTTAGAGTGTTAGCATGGGTGATACTTCTAAAACTTACTACTGAAGAAATGAATGATAAATTGAATGGGAGTATGGAAAAGAATAATTGTTTACACTGCCAAAAATAATCCCTTCACTTAGACCTGACTAAAAAAATAGTAACTTTAAGCAACAGCTGTTTAAATTTTTTTTGCTAGAAACACATTATTTCTGTATACCTCCAGATATTTGAAGAGTTACCCCTGCCTGAGTGTGTCCTAAAGTCAAGCTCCACAAATACTTAAGCTGTCTACAAGAAACAAAGTGGAATTTTATCTCTGGACATATTCTGAACCTGGAAAGCTTGATGCAAATATGCACTCCATTCTGTCCCTACACTTCGATATCTAAAAGAATACAGGCCATAATGAGATACGTTGAGGCTTTATTCAAATTGAATAATCACAGTGGAACTTTTCAAAAGAAAAAAAAAAGATTTAAACTATATTTTCAGATTACCAGTAGCCATGTGGGCTTCTGAAAAGAAATGTAGTGTTGTTTATTGTGGACCTGATTTAAAATACAGAACATTCTATATAAGGGATGCTCCTATTGATTTACTTTTGGCTTGTTCCCAGTGCAAGGGTTTTTGACTATCCATGAGAAGATGTTGGATCATGATTCTTCTAATGTCAAGATTGTTCAAGGAAAACAGATGGGTGCTTTAGAGTATATGTATTTAGCATTCCAGGAGCTGCTTCAGGTTTATAGATTGATCTACATCTGTCTGTATACCATGGGAATCACCAGGCAAGCAGATTTTGGACTTTTGGTCCGGAGTTCATCCACAACCAACTTTTTTGGCTTTTGCCATAATATGAGATCTTCAGTGCATCTCATGTTTCTTGTGGTTCTGCTAAGAAAAAAAAGCTAGACTATTAATGACCAGTGGCACTACAAAACATGACATCTTTGGTCTGAATCTGAAAGAGCACAGCTGAAAGTCAGGAGTAGAAACAAAAAGATCTTAAGTGAGCTGCTACGGCAGGCTATGGTGCTATCGCCTGCCATGAAAACGCAGCAACTAGCGCCTCTAAAAGGCTGACAAATATTTTAAACGTTGCAGAGTTCAAGGTAGCGAGCCTCTTTCATAGTCATTCAACTGTCAGCAGATTACTCCTTTCTAAACTACAAAAACTTCTGTTCTCAACCTCTCCTTAGTGCAACCAAAATAGTACGTCACAGGGAGAAGATATTTGAAGGAAGACCACCCCCAAGCTATGGAATGTTAAAAAGTCAAAGGTAGCACCTTAAACTGTGTTGAAACCAGTATATCTATAGCAACACCAACACTAAGCATTAGCATTTGTACACTCGGGAAATAATAAACATTCTCTTTTCGTTTTCCAGTATGCCTTCAGCTATTATCCTATCTATCTGGACCACTCAGGAGGGAAATGCATTAATCATGGCAACAAAAGTCTTCAAAGACGTAGTTTCCTAACTGAATGAAGAAAAACACTTCTACTTTTTAAACAGAAGCTACTGATATAACGCAAATCACTGTGTGAATTAACAGAAACAGCTCCTCCAGGAAGAGGCACAGATCTTGCCATGTCTTCCAAACATCTTGTCCTCCAACAGATTAATTCTTATCCAGGTTTCTCTTCAGCCAGTGAGATTTACAGCCTTGGCATTAAACACAAACATCCCTTCACATACTGGCTATGAAATTGTCTTGTGGCGTTTCAGGTGATTTTAAGCCCAATATGACCTTGCAGGAATAATCATCAAGGAAAAGAACCACAGCACAGTTTGCTTATGCTACTTTGGAGTCAGTAATTCCACGTAATCCCTGTATTCAAAATATCAATGGCTTTTCATCTATTACCAAGGGATCATTAGCTACCAAGGGAAACAAGTAGTGCCCATATGGTCAAAACCATATGAGATGGTTTTGATGAGATGAGCCATCTCATCTTTTTGATGCCAAAATGATCCTTCTGAGATAGTCAGCAGAAAGCTGTCACTAGAAAATGGTTTTTACACTCAAGCCCATCAAAAGTCTATCCACGTAAATATAAGATGTCAGAAATGTCAAATCAAAGCAGCCGTAAAGCAGAACTGAAGCAGAAGAGTCAGGAGTTAAGTCTCCTTGAATTATTTTATCTTTCAAGCTGCTGCTTATTGGAGTCTCCTAAAGATATATAAAGCCTATATCCATTGATTCAGGAAACAAACCTCAGACCACAGGCCAATTGGTGCACAGTAGCCTGTAACCACAAAACATATAACACATGGTTTAATAATTATTTCACTTTATTTTTCAGTTCAGGTGCCTGGAAACACACGGGATTTTTGACAGTGCTCCAGAACAGTGGTTTGTAAGAGTATGGTAGAGCAATGGTACCAAGGGTGCATGTTACCTGGAGGGAGCAAGGCACAGCTGAAGGTCTGTTACAGGAGAAATCCATCCTCAGAACTGAATCCAAGTTTCTCAACAGAGCAGCTATTTTTGCAAGAAGAGAGCCGAGAAGAAATTAACATACGTGTAACGTGGGCTACTGGGAACCAGGGTGTCAAGTTGTTTGGGACGTACAAAGACATGCAGTACAAAATTTCTGCCTCTTTTCTGCCTAGGATGGGTTCCTTCTCCACTCTAAAAAAACAGGAGAATACAGCTGAGAAGAAAAATAGCTTCTTCAGATGTTTTCCCTGATAGCCATGCTGAAATCTGACCAAAGTACATCCAGTTTTGGTGTTTACTTCATTTTCTTCTTCAAATATCATCCACCTGGAGTCTTACCATGCTCTGCTACAGGCAACAGCATGATAATTTTAAGACGGAGGTGGTTTCAACATGCTTTCTTTACATGTGATGCATTAATTATTTCACTATATTTTCCTCTTTAAAAGGTTCCCCTAAAAGCCTGCAGATACTTTCAAGGAAAATACTGTAGCAAGACTATTCTGGAAGAAAAGAAGGAACTGATTGATATGCCATTTAAGAAAGTTATATTCCTTTTTTATGAGAAAATATTAATACTGGCTTTAGAATTAAATTATTAAATAGTATTTTAAAATTAAACAGATGTCAAAACTATGTTACTACCTCTCTGATAAAACGACAACTGGAACAATTCGGAAATGTCTAAAGGATTTCATTGGTAGACTTGGCTATTAGGGAGCTAGATGTGATTTTTCTTTACAAGCATGTCAGTATAAGTTTTGGGTAATACTTAAGTATAAGTGCCACTGAACCATAATGAATGGCAATTGGAAAGTTCTACAAATAGTGGCACCTGGAGATCTATATAGTTGTTTCAGTGGGAATAAATTTGTGCAAACTAGTGATTTCTCAGACTGTTACTTCCCTGTGCTAGACCTAAAGTACGTTACTAGGAGAACGCACTGTGAATCAAGTCACGTGCGCTAAAGCAGTCCTTTGAGTAGTTCCACACAATCCACAGATGAGCTACAGGCCGTACTGCACACTACATTTCGTGAATCATTTTAGTAAGTCTACAAGAACTACATACAAAAGATTAATTTGACTTACCTTTCGGCAACAATAATGTTAAAAAAAAAAATCTCTGAAGGCCAACCGACCACAGTAGTTATGATTAAGTAACTGTTATTTTATTCCATTTTTCTTTTCTGACTCTCACCTTTATCACCCAGAAGTGTTTGCGCAGTGTGAATTTCATACATCATATTTTAGCTAAAATTCAGTTTTATTTCTTAATTAGAAGTAGAAAGGGAGGATATGCTCCGAGATCTTAGTAATACCTGACTTTTCAGGCAAAACAGGAGAATGACTAAATCATGTAAGAGAAGTTGCACAGCAAGAAGCCAAACAATTAGTATGTATGATCTTACCAAATATCGTCTATCCATGTAAAGACTGAATTCACATGTTTTTAAAAGGAATGTGGAGATTTCTAGGATTAAGTATAACTTACATAAAAATGTAAAACCGTCAGGTTTTTCTTAATCCTTTTTTTATTCAAGGATTTGCCGTGAGCCTTCAAGTGATTCTGTCACATCCAAAAGCTGTGTTCAAGCGTCGTGGTTCTCAACCAGGAATGCAAGAATCTGATTTTCTAAAACAGATAACAACAGTGGAGGAACTGGAACCAAAAGCAAACAATTGCACAAAGGTAGTTGTTTCCACACTTACTAAGAAGCTTTTATTATTATCTTTGTCGATTACCTAGTATACCGTACTAACAGAGATGCTATTTTATAGGTTCTTGTATGGCACACGCGAACGGAAAAAGTAAATCTAGCTAATGAGCCAAAATATCATCTGGACACAGTCAATATTGAGGTATGATCTGGACACACAGTTATATGGGAAATAAAAGTACAATGGATATGTCAGAAGATGGGAGAATTTAGCCAGTGAAACTAGTCTACTCCTGTGTGAGACCTTTTATTAGTTGTCTGATGGACTTCTGTGGAAACAAAAGAGCTGTCATATACCCTAACAAGCAAATCAAACGGGTGTGCTTTGTTCTAATTTGTTTGCATGCATTTCTGAACTTGGTCTTAAACAGACACTTACCTTTCTTTTAAGACTGTTTCCACATAGTACAAAATAATCAAGAGACCAACATGACTGCAATGGAATATTTTCAAAATCATCATTTATGTATATAGTTTTTGTATTTATCTAGCTTAACGGTGTAATTATAAACTGATTTTAAATCACAAACTGTTGCTCACCAAAATATCTGTGTAAATGGATCCTCTGAATTGAGAGTACGTTTTCCTTCATTAAAAACAGACTTCTTGAAGAAACAGTGATTGAACAGGTCATACAACCATGAAATAAAACCACCTACAATCGTTTATGGATTTATCCTTTTAATATAGGGAAATAACATTTTATTATTACGAGGCACCATAAAATGTAAACACAATCACTGTCATAAACCTGGATATCTCTGCAAGGAAAAATATATCTGTTCACACCGAGTTATCTCGTATACACATTGTGCCACTAGTTCCCAGCATTAACACTGTGTACATGCCTCATAAGCCAGATTGGATATCTTATCACAGGAAGCTCAAATGGATTAAATGCTCTTCTTTTTTTAAAAAAGAATAAACTATTAATTTGTGGAACTAGAGTAACATCCAGGTTTATCTTTCTTTCAATAATCATGTTCCCTGTTATGCACACCATAATAACATCACAGTGAAATGTACGATGAAACAAATTTGTTTGATACACTAGAAAACATTGCTCAGTGATACATTTACATTCTATTTATATATGATTAAACATTTGTTCATACAGTACCTTCTACAGGATTACTGGGTAATTTTGGGGGGCAGGGTTTATATTTTTAGATATTACTAACATGATAGCTACATCCCTTATATGCAAACATTTGATCTACAATTTTGAGGGGAAAAAATCAGTATGTGATTAAGCAGCTTCTTAGATATATGGTCTATGAAATCATGTGCATTGTAGTATGAAAAAGCTGCCAATGATATATAAACGTATTCTTGATCTGCATTTCACTACATCAAATTTAAATCAATATAGACCACAACACGGTCAGTCAGTTATATTCTTAATCTGAACAGCTGGGGAAAAAGAAAAAGTATGTACATGGAGAGAACAGGGAAAGTAAATGCATTTGAACAAGGAATGTTAGGTGGCTGTTCTGGATGAAACTTCTATTGCAACGTTCATTTCCACAGTTGTGTGCTGAGAGTCTGGCCAGAGGAGCTGCCAGTCCATCCTGCCACTGTGCTGGGGGGCTGGCCAAAGCCCATCACATTGCTGGAACTACTGAGGTTCATTCCAGCCATTTGCTGATTCATCTGTGAAGCACACACACACACACACACACACACGCTTATCGTTAGCACTGCTGTTGCAAAACAACACCGTTAGCTGCAAAGCAGCAATACTTTCTAAATTAGCAACGAATTTAAAATGTTTCCCTAAAATTAATATTTCCAATTAAACAAAATATTTTTTCAAGACATTTTTTATAGACATCAGTTGACTAGCTGCAGCAAAGTGTTTGAAAGAAATGACAAGTCTGTACAAATATTTTGCTAGTGAATTTGCAGAAGATGCGACAAAGGATGTGTCTGGTGTTTTTCAAATAGTAAGACCTCTCAAGTTTCAAACCTGTCCAACAACATTTTGGCAATTGCAAAAAACACCCAGGCAGGTTACATAGCCTTGTCTACATTTGCAATTCCAGGTGTTCTTTGTTCCAGCAAAATTTCTTTGAAGGTCTCAAAATCTTGACTATCTAAGCTTAATAAATTGCCCATTTGATCGTCAAAGAGCAAGACATATTTAAACTTCACTATTACCTAAAACTAAGCATTTTTGCTAAAGACGAAAATGTATCCAAGATACCATATTTCTTTAAAACAGAAGTGATATAATTCATATTAAATTAAAAAACAAATACATCTAGTTAAAGGTTCAAGAAATTCTAAAGAGTTCAAAATTCAGGTTATTTCTTTTAGGGAGGATGCAAAAATACTTCTACTGTCTCCAAATACTAACCATTCATTGTAATTTTCAGTGCTCTGTGCAATAACCTAGTTAAAAATAAGAACTCCCTAATACCTTCCAAAATACCACATGGTTACTGGCAAGCCAGCAGCCTAGGCAGAGTAAAGATATTCCCTCTCAAGCGTTTGAGAGCAAAAGAACATTTGGTGAAATTAATAATCAGCTGATGAATAGGGATGTTGGATAAGGAACATCATATGCAAATTAGAAATATCATTAGATTAAAAAAAAATCAGAGTTGATGTAAACAAGACTGAACAATACCAGATTTCAAAATGAAATTAAAGATAACTGGTGTGAAAAAAAAGTTGTTAAATGAATTGCAAACTAATATTTCAGGGTAAAATTCAGTATTGTGTGTTTTCACTTGTGTACCCACAAACACCACCAGATCACTGACTATGGAAATTAAAGAAAGCTGATGAAAACAGGCTTTACCCAGTTTATCTCTTCTGAGGTAGAATATTTAAAATAGACTGCATAAAGCATGCTGTTCTGGTAAATAAAGCAAGCCTTCCCCTTTCAGCCAAAGCCAGAGATTAGATCATGGTTCTCCTAGAAATTCTGAAGTATCAGTGTACTGATAATATTTGATATGGAAGTAGTACAGAAATGTGTAAAGAGCTTGTTCTGTGAGGCAAATATTAACATACAGATATTTTATAGAAAGCATGAGTTTTATTTTAAAACTGATACAGGTATTTTTAAAGTTGGATATCTAAAAACGGTTAACAGGAAGTCTACAGATTTTTTTTTCTTTTGACGTTTTGAAGCTCTCACCTTTTAAAACTTACAGAACTAGATTACTTCTTAAAGCAGGATGAAGGTGCCTATTTTCAAATAGGGGCTATTTTATCCATTTAAGAAACGCTGCTTACCTTCATAAATGTTCACAATGTAGGACTGAACAGAACAGTAAAAATTAGCATAATTAAATCTAAATAAGCCATTAAGGTTCACTTCATGAAGGACCGCAGTAAGCAGCATGTAATTATTATATGATTTTTCTAATTCAAAGAATATTACAGAAAATTTAGTTGCTATCACCTGTAATGAACTCTTTAAGGGAATCAATTAATGTTTTTAAAATTGAGATCTCAAAAATCTACTTTCAAGATGTTCCATTGAGTAATGTACAAATACAGTACTAAGTGCATATTAGCACATTTGAAATACCCTTTAAACATGTTTAAAAAATAAAAAATAGCATGGAAACACTACAAATAAATAATAAATGAGTCTAAGCAAATTATCTACAGGAGACTGTCAAGAGTGCAAAGCACTGTGCACATTCCACTGACATTTATCTTGAAGTCTGTTGAAAGTATTAATTGTTAATGACTATTCTTTAGTAATTAAATTCTGCTTTTAGTTATAAGGCTGCATTTACACTTCAGTATTTCACAAACTAAGTACCTAAGCTACTTTTTTCCTGGCTAGTTCAGATGCCAGGATGAGACTGGCTACACCAGCACAGAACTGAGTTTGGTCTCCCAACTTTGGTAAAGTTTATTCTGTGCTTATATATTCGTTATCTTTAAATTAAACTCTTCACCATTTCTTTTTCTCCCCGCTGTGTATCTGGACAATTCATAGTCCAGCAGTCTGTAACTCAGCCCCACCGCAACTTTCTTCTTACAACTAAATATTTAATATCTGAAAAGCAGCATCTTTTTTAAAGCATTGTTATTTGGGAATAATACGTCTTTACCTGAGAGAGGTTCCATTGAGCTTGTTGATTTTGTTGCAAACCATACTTATTTTGTGGCGTGACCATTTGTCCCACCATTCCACCTTGAGGTCCAACGACATTTTGAGGAAGTCCCATCACACCAGTTTGTG